TATAACTAATTAAGTTCGGGTTAAGAATCAAGACTTCTACAATAGTATCATATCATTCTATATGAAAATAAATTACAAAGACCTCATTCTAATAAAAATAGTATTTCTTAATTCATGATATTCCTCTTAATTAGTTAACGTAGAACTACTTCTCTTAATCAACCGTTCTCACTTCTTATCACATTGTCGGATTATAGACTTAATTCAAATTTAGTGAATTAAGACGATTGACAAAAGAAGATTATTAAGATACTTTTCAAAGAGGCCATCTAATACACGTCAACATAAGTTGCACAAGTCTCTTGACTATTGGAAAGAACCAGCGTGCCAAAGGACGCATTGCTTTATTGGCAATGCTTCCAACCCAATATTCCATTCAAATTGGGTCAGCAACTTACTAAAAACTAATGATGATATGCATTGAATCAACATTCTCAGTCAAAATCTAGAAGGGTTTCCTATGTCTAAAATGTGCCAAAATATTTAATGAATAAATTAGAATTTAAATAGATAGCCCACACGAAATAAAACTTTCATATGAACACATAAATTTCAAAATCTCAAAATATAATATTTGTTGATGAGGAATTAGGACTTTGTCAATGAGAAAATGATTGTTAAATGGATTAAGCAAAAGGAGGAGAGTGAAAGGCAAGGAAAAGTGGGAAATATGTGTGGACGATGAAATGGGAAATGGGAAATGGGAATAAGGAAGCCAAGACGCTGACGCAACCAGGGGGTCCCACTTGTAGCCATGATCTGCGTGGCATCTTAGGTCCGTTTCACTTTCACAAACCATTTTTCAAAATCAAAACTGCAATTCCCCCTTCTGACTTCTTGTGTTTTCATTTCACATACAACAAAAGGGGGAATATGGAAAGTGAGTCAGTGTGTGGATTTTTCTGTATCCACTTCACTTGGGTGATAGCTGATTCCATTTCAGCAATCACCTTAACTAAGCTAGCTGCTAATTAAAACATGATTTTCAAAGAGCTATATTACAATACAAATAAGGAAAATGAAATTCAAAGCTACCCACTACTGAAAGTAAAGACACACACACATACTGAAGGGCTTTGAAGGGGGTCAAATTGACATCAGTAAAAAAAAAAAAAAAAAAAGGGGAAAAGGAAAGCCTTGGAGTCAAAGGGTAAAAAAAAGTGGAAAGAGGGGTGAGGCTGTCTCTTTCCGCCAGTCCATGGAATTGCAAGGTCAAGAATACAAACTTACAGTGGGATGGATGGTTGGTTGGTTGGTTGGTTGGTTAAAGAGAGCAGAGAGAAAGAGAAGGGAGGAGGAAAATGGTCCATTTTGTCGAGTGAAAGGTCGCAGTCATGAGGAAGCAAATAGTTTAATGAAAAACCTTAACAGTTATACCATAGAAAAGGAGGGGGGAGGAAATTTTGAGGGGGGAAAAAAAACAAAACTCCCAGCAATATGTATAAGTGTGTGTCTGTACGCCTGCATTTATGAAAGCAACCAACATCCCCATATCCCTCATCTTTTCTCTGTCTCTGTCTGTCTCTCTCTCTCCCAGAGAATTTTAATGGCTTGAAATCTACCCCCAACGACTCACATTGAATTCACCAGTTTCAAAATCATGGAATGGGTTTTTATTTTCTTTTTAGACTCTTGTCTTTGGAATTCGGTTCGGTTTTGTCTGATGCACACAGCGCAGAGCTACTGCCAGAGAAGAGGGTAGGAGGGATGTGGTGTGTGGTGTGTGCTGTAGTCACTGACAGAGGCCATGATTGAATCACGGGGATGAGGGAGGAAAGGAATAAGGATGCCTCCCCCCTCCCCCCTCCCCAGATGAAGCTTTTCAATACAACAGATGCAAATACGAATACGAATACAAATACTGAGATTCCATTGCCTCGTACCCTTATTATCCTTTGCCTTTCCCACCGTCGAGGACACTGCCCTATCATCACCCCCCCATCTTGTCTCAAGATTGCTGCCAAGATCTTATCATCACCATCCCCGATTTTATTCTCCTCCTCCTCCTCCTCCTCCTCCTCCTCCTCCTCCTCCACTTTATCCTATATATTTGAATCTAGAAATTAGAATCAACCAACGGAGTAATGTGTTAACATGCATTCCTTTTTCACTTTAGTACTCAGGCTAAAGCATTTTGTGATAAACACGCCTAAATTCACTTTATAATAAAACTCCATGTTTTTTTTCTAGGTCGCTTGGTGTTGGTGGCTGATTAAAGAATTAATATTCCACAAATTATTATTTATTTGTAATTTTTTTAGTATTAAAAAAAAAAACGTTTTTTCCATGCTAGATGGTGGAATTACCTATTCGTCGACTCTTGCTAGAAATTTGTTGAACATCATTGTAAGACATGCAAGCATTATCTTCTTTTGGTAGACCAAATCATTGCTAGACTTTGAACACTTGAATCAAAGTCGCAATATTTGTAGAAGAAACACATGGAACAGCAAAAACTACTTTTAATTAAAGTAATTTGGGTCTCCATAATTATTGTTTTTGGTTTTTGGGTCTAAGGCTATAACCACTAATATTACAAATTTAGGTCTCCATAAGTTTATACGTTTTGGTTTCACTTTCCACTCATATTTTCAAAAATCATGCCAAAGTTTGAAGGAAAAAAAATTCAAATCTTGTTTTTACTTTTATTTTTTAAATTTAACTAGAAATTGAAGTATTTATTTAAGATAGGTGAAAATCATAATAGAGAAGATGAGAAGCACGAGCATCAATTTCAAAAAATATAAAACTAAAATCAAAATGGTCAACAAAAAATACCTGAAAAACTATATATTTTTTTAAAATTACTTTTGTTTCTTTAATTTGACTAAGAATTCAAACGATTTTTTAAGAAAAATACAAACCATGGTTAATAAATTATGATAAACAAATATAATTTAAATTAATAGATATAATTAAATTAAAAACTAAATAGTAATAAAATTTGGTCTAGATTCAAGACTAATTTGATAGACAAGACATCAATTAATATTAATTTTAAATGTAAATTCCTAACATGATTTTTTTTTTAAGAAAAAGGTTCTTGACCATCCAAAAACTACTCCCAACAGAAAGTCATTGTGATTTGTTTTATTCTATTTTATGAATTTATTAATCCTAAAAACAGTATTTGAACTCAACTTTTTATAACGTATTTCCTTACGTAGCTTAATTTGAAGCTTCTAAACTCCAAATCATGGGAGACGCCATTTGAGTGTTTGTATTGAGAGTTTTGGGTATAGGTTTAAGTTTAAGCAGATTTGGGTTAATATATCAAATTCATGTTTGCTCTAGGATTTGTCTAAGTATAGGGTTTGATGGACAAGCTAATGAGTTGTATTCTATAATTCACTCATTCCTAACCCCTCCACTTAAACATTTACTCGTCTAAAATGTGTTAGAAACTACAGACTTCTGGTCAACTTTGAGTATAAGCTTTCATGACTTTACTTCTACTTTTCTCAAAAGACTTCATATCAAAAGAGATAGTATTTTTTGCTTACTTAGTTAACGTGATACTCCTCTCCCAACAATCTTTCCCTCGAACAAAATACACTATAGAGTCTCCCCTGAGGCCTATGGAGACCTCGAACAGTCTTCCCTAAATCGAGACTTAACTTTTTCTCTAGAACTCTCGAATAAAGTACACCTTTTATTTGATGCTTGAGTCACTTTTGACTACACCTTTGAGGCTTACAACTTCTTTGTTCGACACTTAAAGATTTTATTAACATAGCTAAGTTAAGGGTATGGTTCTGATACAATGTTAGAAACCACGGACCTTCACAATGATATAATATTGTCCACTTTGAGCATAAACTCTGACAACTTTGCTTTTGATTTTCTCAAAATACCACATTCCAATTGAGATAATCTTCCTTATGAAATTTTGATCTTCCCTTTAATTAGCCAAACGTGAAACTCCTCTCCTAACAATTCTCAACAAAATGTGAATCTCAGGCTCTAAACACCCACATGAGTCAAACATCCCAAAATGACCCCACTACCCTTCATTTAGTCTAATGTTCATTTGGTCTTATATATTGGAAAGGACTTTCATATGGTTCTTTCCTTGGCCATGGTGCAACTCCAACAACTTCCATTTTCATTGGGGAACGTGTATGCCATTGTAGGGACGACCACTAGAAAAATTCACTTACGCATGCTTATAAGCAGCCAATTTCTTTCTCATTCTTAACTAAAATTCAGAATGGTTGACCAAAACAAGTAGAATTTCATTCAAAGAAACAGGCAGCAAGCAAGCAGCAAAACCAACAACACTTTGTTATTGTTCAAGTGGGCCTTACACTTTTGCTTGCCGCACAGCTGGATGGGATTCCCACACTGTTTCCAATGAATGCGAGCCGTTGTGGTTAAAAAGTGGATATCTGCCGTAATGAAAATGTCTCAAAGTCAATAAAAATCAACAGTTTTTTAACTGTACCTGAGAATCCCCAATTATGGTTCGGCGGTGGACGTCAGAGAGAGGTGTTCATCGCTGCTGCACTTGGAGTCCTCAGCAAATCTACTTTACAATCCTGCATGTAGAGAATCTGAAAAGGCAGTTAAAGAACAAAAAGATGAGTGCTTGGTATATATATAAAAAAAAGAAGACCAATTTGCTGCAATCAGCACTGTTGCTGGTAGCTAAAATATTCAGTCACATGAATGGCAAACTCCCCCTTGTTTTTTTTTTTCCCCCTTTTTTTGCTGACTGCGGCTTCGGACAGCAGTTTGAATGTCTTCCGGAATAAAAAATCATAATTTCCAAAAGGCATATAGAATGTGCTAGTGGTGGTACTAGTTAATAAATCATGAATATATATACTTGTCAAATCTATAAAAGCAAACTAGCTAGCTGTGATTAATTAGTACCTCTCGAGAATAAATTAATCGATCTATCCATTAATCAAGTGGCAGGTAAAACCAAGTTGCCCAAGTTTGATGACTGGGACAAGGTAGTAGTGTCCACACAGGACGGTTAGATTATTCCAGGAATTCAGAAAAAGAAAATATAAGAACTATAGAGGTTCACTGTTGATGAACATGGCAATGATCCAACTAATACAACATATACACGATGAAGGTTGGGGCAAGGGAAGCTGTGGAAGGGTGGCGTTGGTCTGTATATCTTTTGGAGTTTCAAAGCAAAAATGATAAGAGCCATTGACCATGGTATTGTGATGGTGATGCTTGGTAGTCACTTCCCTGCTCTTCGGCCATGTGGCACTCACCATAAGGTCCGTTCGACACAATTTATGGCCAAAATTATACCGAAACTAACGTTTTTGAAATATCATATATGCCTAAACAAACTATCAAACTGATCCAAAATGAATTGAATCGATCAACTACCGATCAAATGATATTTCAGCCTGCACGCCTAAACTCTCTCCCTACATTCTCTTATGTTCTGCACTTCATAATGGATGTTCAAATCCCATCCCTTAACCGAAGTCATCCAATCAATATACATACTTACCAAATTTAATTTAGAGTTCTAATACACTAGAGACCCCTTTGCAATATCCACAGAGGTTCACACATTCAGATTGACTTCAGTCTTCCTCCACGCCCTAACATTCATCCTAAGAATCGATGATTGCTCACTAATTACACCTCCAGATGTAAAGACAGACATCCATGGAGTATAATCTTGAAAACAACATAAAATTTGTGAAAAATCAGAATTCATACGTACTGAAGGGAAGGTCCTACCCATGATAGGAGTTGCAACCTGATAAGGAACAGGTGGGGTGTAAAAACTGGTTTCGAGGCAACAATTAAAAGACAACAAGTACTCCTCTACCATGGTTTAGAAACATCGAAGATTGATCACTCAGCCTGCTAAACAGTTATACTCTTAAGATTTGCAGCTAAATTTTGGAAACTAACTTATTATGTAGTCAAATCTCAGAGAATAACTTGCTTAAAAACATCCAATATAGGAAGATGGGGCTCGAATCGTACAAAAGCTTTGTTGGATCAAACAATCCAAAAACCACAACAAATTATGATGAACAGGTGATTAGGTATTTAGACTTACTATAAAACGAAGCATAGCTGACAGAAGCCACAGCGGAGTGAGCGAGAATTAGACTGCAAACAAGATAACACTCTATTCCAAGCTTATACAGTTTGGATGCCTCCATGACATGGCTGGCAGGAAGGGGTCAATGGGCCTGCAAAAAGCATTCTGAGGTCAGGGGAATAGAAAATCCATGATATTACTGTCGCCCGATCCTTTCTATTTCAAATAATTAAGATTTGATGTTCATAGTATTACACTTTGGAGGGGGGACGGGGGTTTGCAATGGCCTCACATACAGGGATACCTGAAGAACTCCCTTGGTTGTAAAATCAAAAGCAGATGAAAGTTATCCTGTGTTGTCAATCCAATCTATTATCCATTCTATGTCTATCTGCATTTAGAGTTGTGATCATCACTATGGAATATATGAATTGAGAAAAACAACAGAGGATATTATCCACAAACACCAACCATTCAAGTAAACTGAAAAACTAGAAAATTCCAAGAAACTGTTAGGGATATTGCTTAAAACATGATTCCAATTTATCAACACAGTACATACGAAGAACAAAGATTCATAATCGTACCTTGATTATAGTCCAAGTCATGGCCATTATAATTACAAGAATCCCAATACTCTCCAATAGAAAACACGGACTTTGCTGCTTCAATATATTCTTTCATGAACCAGAAAAACCATGAATTCCAACACGAGCAAGTAATTTGTATATTATAATGTATGTTCTAACAAATTTGTGACTAAAAGCATATCACATTGAGGCAGAAATTTCATCGACAAAAAGATTTCCATGTTAATCAAACTTTTGTTAGTCCACGGGCATACATAATCCGTCAAAAATCCCATGGAAAACATGGATCAAATAATAAGCATGCATAATAATACTTGGGATGAAAACCTTGACGTCTTAGTTGAAGAAAATAGGGCTGTCCTGCAACCACAATCAAAGACGAAAACAGCATGACACTCCATAAAATATAACCTCATTCGTATTGTGCGATCTTAACTTCTTTATCCGAATGCCCCCACGAACAAGGAAAAGGAAAGGAAGGTAACGAGCTAGAATCATAACAGGGTACTTAGCGGCGAGATGGAGACAATTCATGGCTCTAGCTTAATTCCGTAAGCGACAGAGTACAACCTGCTTCATTTTGCGAATCTATTCCTCAATTCAAACTGGATAAAACATTAACTTCTTAATGTGTTTAAACTAACAAGCAGAAGATGCGATCAACCTTAATAATACGAATAATCATCTGAAAAGTAGAAATCTCAGATTGGCGCTAAGACATTTACCGGTGATAAATTAAAGAAAGAGATTGGCGCGAAGACATCCACCATTTGAAATCGAAGGATCGGTCTCAGAAGTTTGAAGGCCATTTGATCTGCAGACGCGTGGTCTCGAGATTCTTCGCTAAAACCAATCGAAGGAGAGTGGGATCCGGACCTTGGCCTGTGTGTTCCTTGGCTAACCATTTCGCAATGGCATAAGAGCAAAGAAATTGACGGTTTCGTGGGACGTCCGCTTGAACGTATGCTAATAATTGCTACCTCTGAACCTCCTCGGGTTAAACTAAATTCAATTTGGCGGGTTGGGCTATTTTCACTATTAATTTGTTGTATTATTTATTTATTTATTAGTTTTTTTTTTCTTTTTTTCCGAAGGAATGTTTTATTTTAGGTGGTTTATGATTAAATACCCCTTCAACGTGAAAGGAAATTTGGAAGTCCACATTATATTAAAAATATCCCTAAAATATTAATATGGAGATATTTTTTTAAAAAAATTCACGGGAGCAACTTGCCAGAATAATATTCCCATTTTAAATAACATAATCTATGTTATAAAGATATTTTAATTATTTGTGTGACAGGTTTTAAGTTTGGATAAAACTGTGAGAGTTTTAACTGTTAGCATATATTGTCCTATTTGTGCTTTTCTTTTCAAGCTTCTCGTCAAGGCTTTAAAATGCGTCTGCTAATAGAAGGTTTTCACACCGTTATAAATGGTGATTTGTTCTCCTCCCTAACTAATGTGTGACATCACAATCTACTCCCTTCGGGGCCAGCGTCCTCTCTGACACTCTTTCCTTTCTCTAATCGATGTAGGCCGCCCCCAAATCCACCCCCTTTGAGGCCAGCGTCCTTACTGGCACACCGCCTCGTGTCTACCCCCTAGGTGTGGAAACCTTCCCCTGGTACAAGCATGCGCATTTTAAAGCCTTGAGGGGAAGCCTGAAAGGGAAAACCCAAAGAAGATAATATTTGCTAGCAGTGGATCTGAATCATTATAAATGGTATCAGAGTCAGACACCGACGATGTGTCAGCCTTCTCGCTGTTCTCCGAATAGGGGTCGACACGAGACAGTGTGTCAGTAAGGACGCTGGCCCCAAAAGGGGGTGGATTTGGGGGTGGTCCCACATCAATTGGAGGAAGGAAATAGTGTTAGCGAGGACGCGGGGCCCTGAAGGGGGTGGATTGTGATGTCCCACCTTAGTTGGGGAGGAGAACAAATCACCATTTATACATTTAAGGGTGTGGAAACTTTCCCCTCGAGGCTTTCTAGACGCGTTTTAAAGCCTGGAGAAGCTCAAAAGGAAAAGTCAAAAGAAGATAATATTTGCTCGATCTCAATTAAAATAATAATAAAAAAATAAATAAAAAAGAAAGATTAATGAAACTATTGAAAATTATTTTTTTAAATAAAGTAGCAGTTAGATTTTCTTTTTTTTTTTTTTAAATTGTTTTTATTAAATTGGCGAATTTATGATATATATATATATATATATTAAAAAAAAAACCCACTATTTTTACTCTAAAAAAACACTATAACCAACAGAAAAATGGAATTTAAAGAAAATATAAAATTTTAAAAAATAATAGGAATCTATTTTTGACATGGAACTTCTAGCATCTGTTGGGACTAAAACCCTAATGGAGATTTCAGTCTATGCCCCTGCCTGAGTAAAATGGAAGAAGAACCGCCAACGCAAACCAGAAGGTCGCCGCCACAACCGTCGATCGAAGAACCAGAACCAAAGAAGCTTAAAATGTCATCCACAACCACCACCTCCGATGACGAAGATGTCAATTCCAATTCTGCAGCACCGAAGAAACAAAGGTACAAGCGCCGCAAGATTGCTATTTTCTTTGCCTACTGTGGCGTCGGTTATCAAGGGATGCAGAAGAATCCAGGCGCTAAAACCATTGAAGCCGACCTTGAAGAAGCCCTATATCTCGCCGGTGCAGTCCCGGAGCAGGACCGAGGGCTCTCGAAGCGCTACGATTGGGCCCGCTCGGCTCGCACTGATAAGGGCGTGAGCGCCGTGGGTCAGGTTGTTTCCGGTCGCTTCTACATCGATCCGCCAGGTTTTGTTGATCGTCTCAATTCGAACCTTTCGCCCCAGATTCGAATTTTCGGGTACAAGCGCGTCACAGCGTCATTTAATGCGAAGAAGTTCTGCGATCGGAGAAGGTATGTTTACCTAATTCCTGTCTTCGCTCTCGATCCTAATTGCCATCGTGATAGAGAAAGTGTGAAGGCTAGTTTAGGGTCTGGTAACGAGCTTGTGAAGTGCTTAGAGTGCTCTGAACGAGGACGCAAGGTCGAAGGCTTGATGGGCAAGCGCAATTTCGAAGTAAAAACTGCGATATCTGAATCAGACATTTCGCCCAACTTTGGAAACGCCATTGAAGTTTCTGATGTTCAGGCAAATGGTGCATTGGAGGACAATGCCACGGCCTCCGATTCTATCAAAGAAACTAGCGTTTTAGTCGAAAACAGTGGTACTGAACTCAATGTTGGAAGCGAAGCTATTGCAAAAAGTGAAGGCAGTGAAATGTCTGGATTAGGGAACGATTCAGAGAATGTTGTAAGCAAAGATAGCGTTAATAGGAACGAGAAACCCTCAGGGAGCTTCAAGTATGGCGAGGAGGAGAAAGCTAGGTTCAATAGGATTTTGAAGAAATATGTAGGAACTCATAACTTCCACAATTTTACTACCAGAACAAAAGCAGAGGACCCTGCTGCTCGTCGCTTCATCATTTCATTTGATGCGGCGATCACCGTCGTCGTTGAAGGCGTTGAATTTGTGAAATGTGAAGTTGTGGGGCAGAGTTTCATGCTTCACCAGATCCGGAAGATGATGGGTCTTGCTGTGGCAATCATGAGGAACTGTGCTCCAGAATCATTGATTGAGAAGGCTCTGCAACAGTAAGTAATTTCCATTTTCAACTGCAATTTTCATTTCATTTCATTTCATTTGTTAATAGAATAGAATAGAATTGGATTCCTTCAAGTTTTGGTAATCAAAATTGAAACACAGGGATGTAAATATCAACGTGCCGACTGCACCTGAGGTTGGGCTGTACTTGGACGAGTGCCTATTCACATCATATAATCAGAAGTGGAAAGACAGTCATGAAGAGGTATCCATGAAAGCATACGAAGAGGTAGCAGAAGATTTCAAAATGAAGCATATATATTCTCACATTGGTTCCACAGAGCACAAAGAGGGAGCCGTTGCCTTATGGCTGCATTCTCTGAACCATCGCAATTATCCTGATTTACGCGTTGCTGATGAGGCTGCAGATAATGCTAAGAACACAAGTGTTGACATCGAGACACAGGCTGAGACTTAGAAGGTCTTCTTCCACCTTTGCTTTTACCTGCCATTTGGATACTTTCAGCAAAAAATATTAGTTTTGATTGATGATTTAGTGCTTCTTTAACTTCAACTCTAATCAGATCATGCATAAATTTTGTTCAAGAAAGTGAGGCAAATCCATTAATTATGTTACGTTCTGATTATGATCTCGAGTCATGTTATTCTTCTATACCCCTACAAGGGTTTGAACTATTTGTACTTGAAAATTGTTTAATTTATATGGTCAACCCGAAGTAGTTATAACTTTTAAACTATTAGATGCAGGAACTCTAAAATAGCTTATAGATCTACCTGTCAAAAAGGATTGGTTCTTGTATTTTCTTTTCAACTGGGCCCGTGCTCTTGAGATCGTCGATGTAGAGTGGATGCAGACTCATAGCTGTTATATTTTAGGTTGTCGAATAGCTCAAGAAGTGGCCGACCCCGAAACCTTGAAGGGGAGAGGTCAAATACTTGGTATACTCATCAGTACTGTGATCCAAGGAGAGGATCAGCAACAATTTAGAGCTCAAACTTTTAAAAGAAAAAAGTCTCATACGACAAAATTTAGTATGGATTTCTTGAAATTAGAAGTTTTGGCAATAAACATTGAAGATTTCTAATGAATGCGTGTATTTTGTTAATAGTAACATGTATGTATTTTTGCAAGCAGCTTGTTTTCCATTTAATCCATTAGTTTATGTTGTTTTTTTTTTTGGAAAAGACTAATCAATGGATTCTATTTCTATCAGTTAGCTTGTAGGTCTTTTTCCTTGGGCTTTTAAATTTGGCCATACTGGTTTTTTCCCTCAGTTTAGTTAGCCTCAATAATTTATTCTTTTTTTAAAAAAAAATATACAAAATTTAAAAAATTGAACGACATAATAATTTAGTTGACCTTTTATTTTTAAGAAACAACAATAATGTCTCTTTAAATTCGTGGAGAAAATAAAAGAACTCCTCATCATTCAGGACAAATATCTTCTGGACGAAGCGCAAGGCCTTGGAAAAATGGCTGACTGGACCCAACTCCCGCCCGATCTCCTGCAAGTTATCTCCGATAACCTCAACGTCTACTCTGACTATCTCCGATTTCGAGTCGTCTGTCAGAGCTGGCGATCATCGGTCCCCAAAATCCCTCGCCGTCTTCCTCCCCAGCTCCCCTGGCTCATAATTCCTCTGTACCACGACTCCCGCTGCGGCTTATTCAACTTTTCTGACAACAAAATCCACTTCCTTCACCTCCCGGAGGCTTCTCTCGGGAGGCGCCGGTGCGGTTCTTCCCACGGCTGGCTTGTGATCCTCGATGAAACTCCGACAATCCTCCTCCTCAATCCCTTAACCAGGGCCAAGTGTCGTCTGCCTCCGCTCTCCACGTTCCCCAACGTCGTCTCTTTCGATTACTCCAGAATTGGCCGAGAATACCTGATCCGTACACCCACTGGGCACATCTACAGCCGAAATTTGCGGCAGATGCGCGATACTTTTGTCAAGAAAATCGTTCTGTCTTCAAGTCCATCGAATCAGAACGATTTCTCGGCCGTGGCGATTCTGAATCATAGCGGCGATTTGGCATTTTGCCGGAGTGGCGGTGAATCCTGGACGTTCGTCGATGATGCACCATCCGATTGCGAAGATATTGTATACTCCGACGGGCTGTTCTACGCGGTGGATAAGCACGGGGTCATTTCAGTGATGGATCTACGCGGTTCCCGCTCTGAAGTTTCACTGGTTACTACAGGAAGCCAATCGGCCGGTGATATACAATATTTGGTCAAATTAGGGCGCGAGTTGCTGCTGGTGAGTCGGTATTTGGATATCATCAACGACGCCATGGTTGACGAGCTGATATCTGTAATCTATCGTACGGTACGATTTGAAGTATTCCGAATGGAATGGGAAGGGCCGCGATGGGAGAAGGTCGAAAATTTGGATGAAATGGCACTGTTCGTAGGGGGAAATTCTTCAATGGCTTTCTCTGCATCTGATTTTGGTGGAATCTCAGGGAATTGTATATATTATACGGACGATTACTCTGACAACGATTACCAGGGACAGGGTGAAGAACCGGATATGGGGATTTTCCGATTATGCGACGGAAGCTTCGAGCAGCTGCCGTATTACTCCGGCGGCTCCCATTCCCGACGCCGTTTACTTCCACCGATTTGGGTAACTCCGAATCCTTGCTAATTGTGCGTTTCTGGATCGTTTCAATTGAATAATTAATTGCAGTTCATCGGTGATCAATACAATCACAAATTGAAATTTTAAAAATAAAAGTTGCCATTTGCTTTGGTTTTTCATATTTTTGATAAATTACCTTTAATGGTTAATTTTTGGTAGTGCAATTATTCCATGGTCAAACCGAAGAGAGAGCGGTTGAAAGTATTTGAAGTTCATACCGCATGAAGAATGACCTCATGGATGGCTAACGGTTACTTCCAATTTGAATTTGAATTCGAAATTGAAATAATTATGGTTATTGGGTGGTTACTAAAATTACGAGAGTTGCTTTCTTGCTCATCACCGGTTTCTCCTCTAAATTTGTATTTTCATAATGAAAGTGAAAAATAAAATTGATATAATAAGCAAAAAAAAAACTATATTGTCTTGTCATCCCTGGTGCACTAATTTAGGGTAGACAATCAGTACGCAATAGTGTCTTATCACATAGCCTACTTAGCTTATAGGACCAACAAACACAAGTATGGAAAATAAATTCAATCTTACCTTACTTTTAATTATATTTTTTTAAACACAAACAAAAAGTATGGGCGGGTTAATCTTACAAGTTCATTGTAATAGTTTAGACTAGTTAGACTAGTTGAGTTGAATTATGGTGGGGTTATTAAAAAAGAAAAGGGTAGGAAAGGAAAGATGCTGAAAATAAATGGGGCAGCAACAAAAAGGAAGAGGTGGGTGGGTGGCAATATAGACCACTCAGTGCAGGTTATGCATGGAGGGAGGAGAGAAGACAGCGAGGGAGTGGATAGGGGGAACCAAATATATATCTTTGTTCCAGAGATAATGAACCCCAAACCCAAAAAAAGGAGTTAAGGAGTGGGGGAGTCGCAGGTGCATGTCAACGTTTGGTCGCGGAAAGAAGACCCCTTCCAGACTTCCAATGACACGACTCACACCCACACGCAACAAGATTAATTACATGAATCCCTCAGTTTTTTATTCTTTTTTTTTTCCTTTGTTCACTGGTCTTTGCCCCAATCCATCTTTTCTCTATTCAAATCCATCTTTTCTCTATTCAAATCTCGCACATAAAGCCAATTCTGCATAACAGTTGCCTTTCACGCTTCCAACCATCTTCTTTAATTCCACCTTCCCTCCTTACTCTCTCTTCCCCCCCCTCCCTCCTTTAATTTACTTACTTTATCTTGGAAATCATATGTTCTTTTACTACCATCATTACTCCCTCCCTCCTCCTTTTCCTTTCCTTTCTTTACTATACTACACTACTCCTACTCTCTCTCTCTCTCTCCCCCCTTTTTCTTCTTCTTTTCTGATTTTCCGGCTGACTGGTTATGTCACCGCCGGCGAGGACCAAAAGCGGGAATGGCGGCGTAGATAAGCAGTATCCTCCGCCGCTTGCCACCCACGATGAAGTTGTTTCTGACCCCATTGTTTTTTGGGACACTTTGAGGCGTTTCCATTTTATGATGAACACAAAGTTCATGTGAGTCACACATGCTTTCTTCTTCTTCTTCTTCTTCCTCTTCTTCTTCTTGTGATTGAAATAAAGTAGCTTGATGGTATATTCACAAAACACCGCACTTTTAAACTTTTCCGGTGTAAGAAATTTTTAATAAAATACAAGCCAGTCTCCTAATGGCTACTTTTGGCTTTCCTTGAATATTTTAAAGGATTCCTGTGATTGGAGGGAAGGAGCTAGACTTGCATGTTCTATATTCAGAGGTTACAAGAAGGGGCGGGCATGAAAAGGTAAGATTTGGGGCTTGGTCTTCCATTTTCAACAAAAAGCTTCTTCTGGGTTTCAGAGATGGAGTTTGTGTGAATCCATTGTCGTGGCGGTGCAGGTTGTTGCAGAGAAGAAATGGAGGGAAGTTGGAAGTGTGTTCAAGTTCTCTCCTACAACCACCAGTGCTTCCTTTGTATTGAGAAAACATTATCTCAGTCTTCTCTACCACTACGAGCAAGTTTACTTGTTCCGCCGCCAGGGCCCCATCTACGCCCCTCAAGGTGCCTTCTTTTTGTTCTCTCCTTTCTTTTCTTCTTTTTTTATAAACTTTATCCACTTCTCCCACATCGGATTTGCTGCAACTCTGATTTCGCTTTTGTCTTCCTTTTCTTTTTTCTACACAGCGCCATTTTCTTTCGGTAGCCCTACCAGCGAAAACGAATTGGCTCTGGTGGAATATACCCCCAAAACAACGTCGTTTTCGCCTGGTCCGCCTGCTGAAGGTGACAAACCTTTTACATTCACTTCTATTAATCCCTCTCTCTTTTCTCTGTGGGGTCCAGCTGTAAAGGTTATACAGTTCCCAACAATGGCTTCTATATAACTGACCCATTCCCTCCCACGTTTTATCTCTTGAAAATCTGTCTTCTTTTTTATGGTGTTTTTCAGTCACTGGAACAATTGATGGGAAATTCGATTGTGGCTACCTGGTGTCTGTGAAATTGGGATCTGAGGTTCTGAGGGGAGTTCTTTACCATCCAGAGGAGCCTACCCCGTCGGATCTCCGGCCCCAACCTACCAACGCCATTGTACCGTACACTGGTACCAGACATCGACACTCTGGTCGGCGGCACCGGAGGAGCCGGAGAAAGGGAGACCCCAACCACCCCAAACCAAACAGAAGTGGGTATAATTTCTTTTTTGCAGAGAAGCATTACAAGCTCAAATCTCTGTACCCTAACAGAGAGAGGGAGTTCACCAAGATGATTGGAGAGTCTTGGAACAACCTCAGCCCTGAAGAAAGGATGGTATGTGTGCCAAGCTTTTTCTCTCGAGGTTTCAACAGCTTTAAACTTTGGTGGTTTGATCAAATGGGTGTTCTTTCTACTTTATTATTAGGTTTACCAAAACATTGGGCTGAAAGACAAGGAGAGGTACAAGAGAGAGTTGAAAGAGTACAAGGAGAAAATGAGGCTGGCAAGTGATGATGTTCATGCAGCTAACTATTCAAAACAGGGAGAGTAGAAGAGGGGAAGGGAATTCAGCAGTTTGTAGGTTCTTTTTGAGACTGGGATTTGCTGCACTAGTTATATATGATAAAGATTTTGTATCATATCCTCCGACCCCTATAACTTTATATGGCATACCATTACCATAGGTTCTCATATCCAAAGTGGCTTGGCCTCAAGTTTTACACCCACTTCGAAGTTCACTCTGGAACTGTCATTTTATAGTTTCTTGGAACTTTTTGCTTCTTCTTTACCCATGGGATGGTGAGATCTTTCTTATTTCTTTTTTTGTTCTTCCCTGGAGTCGGAGACATCAGATGCTCTATGAAGACCCCTTCCATCCAAGGACGAGGAAGCCAACTAAATGAGAAGCTTTTGAAGAAAAAAGGCTTCTTCCTTCTGGGCTGCCACATTAGAGTAGAATATGCCAACGGTCAAATGAAAAATGAGATTTGCAGTAATCTAAAGTTTTGTTTGAAGTCACTATTAGATTGTTTCAGTTCTCAATTTTTCATTCAATATGTTCGGGAATTTTTACTCTATAAAGATATTATTTAAACATTTATGTAAGGATAATGACTTAGCTTCTGAAAGAGTAAGAGTAATTTTCTTAAAGAATTGCTTCGACAAACATGGTCAGAAACAATGGATCAAAAATAAGTAAAAACACAAGAATGGGGTTGGTTTAACAATTTCATGTCATGGGCATCAGAATACCTACCTATGTGTGCCGACTGGACAAGGACTTTAGATCACTTCCACCATTGACTCTTTAGACTTATAGCAGGTCCTTTGAGGTCAAATAACAACCAAGGGGTTTTGGCCAAGAGGTTTTCTCTTAAATTTTGCTTCCGAATCTTCCCTTTTGGTTGCGCTAGGGCGCGTCTATTCTCCAACATCAATGCAAAGGTTGTTTGTTTCAGTCATGGAATGGCTTGATTCAATTTTGAGTTAAGCAGAACTCATGAGAGGCTAAACAAATATCTCGACTACTTTAAAGCAAAAGCATGAGTTTAGTACATAGACAGTGAGGTAGGGAATAAATGTTTCAACTCTGCCATATGGTTTAGGTCATGAGTTCAGGGTAGAGGATTTGGGATTTTAAGTTTAAAAACAAGCTATACAATTTTACATATCATAATGTTTATGCGAGCTCGAACTTCTATAACTCATTCACTTCACAGTTCAAAACCAGTTACAAAAGTTGTGCGAACTCAAGCTTACTGAATTTGTGTTTGAGAATCATACCCCGAAGTGTCTGTTCATGTGCATTTGTTGAGACCGTGAAAGAAACGGTGTTTTCTCCTTCGAGAATGCCTTCTGGAATTCTTTGACATGACATACGGGACAAAATGCACCTGCAACAAGTTTTTGTTCTCTGTATTATGATTGAATTTTCAGCCTGGATAGAATTTCTAATACTTTGACATGATTTCTGCTGGATAGAATTTCTAATACTTTCACATGATTTCTGCTGGTTAGAATGTCAATCGGATCATACAAGGTTTAGGAAATAACCTGAGAATTATTACGGATTCCAAAATCCTGAAGCGCAGAGCTATCATCAAGAATCTTCTCGTTGTGGTGTGCTAGGCAAAAATTTGCCCACACATGCTTCCTGCAGATCCACAAGCGAAAGACTTCTCATCAATGCACAAAGATCATTGTACGATTAGCTAAGAAAGCTATCTACTAATCACTTTTTATGGTTGAATTCACCAAAAATGAAGAAAGAGTACCATGAAATGTGGCGATGTCCCATCTTGGATTGCTCCATCTCGTTTACTTTCTTCTTGATAGCGAGCTTCAAGTCCTTCAACGATGCGGAATTCATGATCGCCACATCTAAAGCATGAACAAGATCGCAAATCGCATTTCAGAAGTTCTATAAACACAGTGTTTGTGAAAATGCCAGTTGAGAAAGAGGAGGAACATTAGAAAATTGTGTGTACCAATTATGGTGCCGTCAAGCTTAAGGACAGAGATGCGCATGGCGCTGCCCAATTCGAGGCTGATGAGCGTATCAACGTCCAGTAAGGTGGGCTTCTTGGGGACATCCGCCAGGATAGGATCGTCAAGCAAAGCAGTGAGAGTTGAATTTAACCTAACTTTCTTCACGTTGGTGCTGTGGTAACCTACGACATTCTCCTCTTCTTTACTGCTGGACTTCAATGATTCATCTCCATCCTCCTTCATCGCTACACAGTTATGATTCTATCACTCTTAACATAAATTCACTTCAGCAAATCAGCATTATCTATAACTTTTGCAGCAAGCCTAATTAATTTTCACAGTTACTTATTTCTATATAACTACAAACTAATATTGACTTGATAGGTTTAAATCATGATTTGATGGACACAGATAGCATATACAAGAAATTAGATTTTAACTTCCAATCATCACGATGAGTTATTGGTCATCAAATATTTGAATCAATGTTTTTTTTTTTTTTCTTTTTAACAAAAAAGAAGGCCATCTTATTTCCAAAGGTTATATAAGCAAAAATTTTAACATCCCAAACAACAAATTTCGAAAAACTTCTTACAAAGTTCAATCAAAGACTAAAAGGTTAAACCTCACCTTAATTCACAAGGGAAAATTGACCGGATCGTTCACCGTCGGAGTACAGCGGAGGGAAGGAGTCAGTCTGCGCTGTTCGCCGGAGGTGCCTGTGCGTTATGGAGGTGGCGAATCTGACTGTTCCTGCCGAAATCGAACTCACCGTCAATGCCGAAATGTGGAACTGCAGAGCTGCCGATGAGAGCTGACTGACCTTTAGGTCACCACTGACTCATCGCCGGAACGTGTGAATCGGAGAGAAATCTCGGTTGGATACCGTTCGCGCCGCCGGATCTGCTACAGGAAGCGTAGGAGGTGGTGGAACTGCGCGTGGCTGCCGCTGGAGGGTACCGCCGCGCGGTTCTTCAGTTTCCGGGTATTGTCGGGAACTGTTGCGCCGCCGTCTGAAGTAATCGCCGTGGCTGTGGACCGCCGCCCCCGCCCTCGGCTATGTGGTTGCTGGAGTTGGAGGAAGAGGTAAGAGAAGTGTGTTTGCGTGGGTAAGGAGGGAAATAGCAAAGAGGAGAGAGAGAGGGGTTTTCTTTGGGTTTTAAAGAAGTAATATATATACTCTCTTTTTCTTCCGAAGAATAATTGAATTTAACTTTTCAGTCATAATTTAGTTTCAATTGAAAATAAAAAAATCTGAAATCATTTTATTTTACATTTTAAATTAAAAAAATCCAAACTTTCTAAATCAAATTTCCATTTTTCCTTAGAACTCTAGTTCTAGTATGCTTCTAGAATGCTACACTGTGTCTAGAGTTCTAGTTTAGTTAGCATACCACAAGCTCTCAGATACCATTTATAATGGTTCAAACATTCTAAGATTTAATGATGAAAAAAAAAAAAAAAAAAAAAATTCTTCCTTCACAGGAAAAAAAAAAGCTCAACTAAATTTTCTTCTATCATAATAGAGTCTACAATTTCAAGTTCAAATAATGTACAAAAATGGCTAAAATGAGAGTTAGGTTTGAAATAACTTTTGAAGTAAAATGACACTTACAATAAGTCCCGAAAGAAAGGCAATATAGAGTAGATTGTTGTCATGTTGAGTCTAAAATTGTGACAATCTCTTGAACCAGCGCAGCTCTCCTGTTCCACCTCTCTTTCATGTTTTGATGGTTCAGTTTGTGCGTAAGACCCACCGACATCCTCACCTTCTCAAGATCTTCAACATCCTTCATCACAATCTGTGGATCTGGGTGCCATTGCTCGCCCATGCTCTCAACATACCTGCATACATACACTCATCAAACCCTATTCTCTCGAATTTTATATCAGCCCAAATCCACAGTTAACATATATTATTAGTTTTGGCCGTTACGTGTCTTCGTCAGCCTTTAAAACACGTATGCTAGAAAGAGATTTCCACACACTTATAAAGAAAGTTTTGTTTTCCTCTCCAACCAATGTGGGACCTCACGGTCCACCTCCTTGGAGTCCAGTGTCCTCACCGGCACATTGCCCCACTTTGATACCATTTGCAACGCTGTCAACCTTTAAAACGCATCTACTAGGGAGGGAGAGATTTCCAAACCTTTATAACCCTTATAAAGAATGCTTCGTTCTCCTCTCCAACTGTTGTGGGAACTCACACTCACAAATTCTGAGAGCCAAAATCCATAGATACACTCTATTCTATTCCAAATTAAAGCATACCTGGTTATCCGTTCTTTCAAAAGGGCAACTTTCTCCCATGGAGTAGAGATGTGGATATAGAAGTCAACTCCCTCTCCCATGTCTGGACTACGGTAGTAATTCCCAATGGCTTTGGTAGCCAGCACACTGTTGGGGTAGCTGATCCTTTGATTATCATATCTCAGGAAAACTGTTGTTAATATCTTCATCTCTTCAACAACCATCTGGAAAACCGAAGAAATTTAAGAATGCGTCACTAAGAGCAAAACAAATTGTTTGGCTAGAGAGTTTTGCACCTCGACACCGTCCACTTCGCAGCGATCACCAACGTCGAATGGGTGCATCACAAACAAGAAAATGATAGCTTCAAAGACCGTCTTACATGTGTTGCCAAAAATAAAAGCCAGCAGAAGAAGCTGTGAAGTTATGAAGATGAGGAAGTGCAGGACGGGAGTTCCAAATACGATAAGCCAGATTACCAAAATTGTTAAAGCTACAAAGACGTTTAGCAAGTTGTGAAGATCATCAACAGCTGTATTTGCATCATTGAGAGATAGAACAAGCACTTTTCTCTGCTTAAATGCATTAACCTGAAAACACATCAAAGAAAAAAAAAACATATATATATATTCATTACATTGCTGTTTAGGTTAAGAATTCTTAATATATACCCATCTAAATGGTTTCTTCTACCAGTTTTGGGCTTTCCTTTTAGGCTTCTCCTCAAGGTTTTTAAAATGTGTCTGAGAGAGAATTCCACACCCCTATAAATAATGTTTCGTTCCCCTCTCCAACTAATATAGGATCTCACAATTCCCTCCCCCTTTTGTGGCCCAACATCTTTGCTGGTACACCGCCCGATGTCTAGTTTTGATACCATTTATAATAGCCCAAGCCCATTGTTAGCAGATAGTGTCCTCTTTTGGATTTTCCCACTCGAGCTTCCTCTCAAGGTTTTTGAAACGCGTCTGCTAGGAGAGGTTAAATCTCTACAAAGAATGCTTAGTTCCCCTCTCCAACCGATGTGGGATCTCATAATCCACTCCCCTCGAGCCCAGCGTCCTCGCTGGCACTTGTTCCCATGTTCAATTGATGTGGGATCTCACAGTTTCACGTCCATGTCCAACGCTAGCAGATATTATCCTCTATAGGCTTTTCCTTCCGAACTCCCCCTCAAGGTCTTAAAACGCATATGCTCGAGTTTCCACACCCTTATAACGAATGTTTCGTTCCACTCTCCAACGAATGTAGGATCTCATCTCACCGCACCGCATGTGAGTATAGTGACATGAGAATGAGAAAGTGAGTTTAGTATTCATAGACTTATTATCCAGCGACTTTCTCTTCTAAAGCGAACGAAATGGGTCGGGTTTCAAGGTTGACTCTAGGACTCTTTCTCATTGAAAAACATATAGGGGTAGGAGGGTAAGGTACCATGCATTTTGAGTAGGGACATTTGGAGTTTCATAAATTTGACATAGATAGAAGCGTCTTATAAGCTTTAACTAAAACATGAACCTCCAAATATATCATCTTCATTACACAGCAAAACAGAACAAGGAAAGTAGAGTCAAGGGCAGGGCCTTACCATCCACTCTCTAAAAGAGGACTCATCAATGCATTGAGTTTCAGCGGTTGTTCCAAATAAACTCATCGTCACTAAAGCTTCCTCTTTATTCATAAATCGCATTACATCTTCTATATAAATACAGCTGCAACAAACATAGCTCACATCATGCAATGAAATTGAATATTCATGAAAGAAACAACGAATTCAAACAGAGAACTCACTCTGACCCACGTTGGGCCACTCGCCGGAAAATCCTCCCAGCTGCCTCTTTCGCCTGCCGTTCACTCCTAATCTGCAACAAAGATTGTTCTTTCGTCTCCGACAGTATCTTCTCATCAAGAGTTAACAAAGCTCCATTTCTTACAATATTCATCATTCTCCTCATATTCCAAGCTGATATATTCTTCTGGTTCAGTTTATTTAACTCATCAACTGGGATTTCCTCATCTTTTCTTTTTGATTCTACCTTCAATTGTCTCGAGCCATTGCAATTTACGAGTCTGCCACTGCATACAACTCTGCCACTTTTGGAACTTTCGGCTTTTCCATCGGCAATTTGTTCATCCTTCATCATATCTTCAGAATTTGGCCTCTCAAACAATGGCAAACCAGAGAGCGTCACGATCACATACTGACTGAACAAAGCCTCCTTAAGCCTTTCAAAGTAGTTATTAACGTGGAAAAACGAAGCCAGAATCTTAATGACAAGCGTTTTCAGAAGCCATATCGTAGCAGCCACGAGAAAACAGATCAAAATCTTGGTGACATAAGGCAAGATCTTACTCTGCGTCTTTCTCTGAACCTTGTCGTTGAAGATGAAATGCCAAACAAGCAAAATCAGAGACATCCACAGGCAATTTTTTACAGCCTTTCTCAATCCATAAACGAAATACAGAACCCGTTTCCTTAACAGGAAATTCATCTCGATGATTTTCACCATCAATCCAACGGCCATAGATGAAACCATATGTCCACAGATCACCGCTAGAACAGTCAACTCCCATTTCCACAGCGGAAGACCCCAAAACGTCTCCCTTTTTAAGATTGAAATCCATCGATTACAAATCAAACTCACAATAATGAGAACAAAAACTACCAACTGGAAACCTAATAAGGGGCTTAACTTCAGTTGATTGTACTCTTCAGGCATATCCTCGGTGCCGTCTTGATTATTGTTGTTGTTACCCTCATCTTTCACGGCGGTTTCCAGCTTTTGAGAAGAATCATCCTCAGGAGGATCCATCAACCGAGACTTCTTGCTAATCGGTGAGCTCCATGAACTTCCAGGAAATGAAGAGTTGGAACTGCAACGGAGCACCTCGCCGCCGCTGGAGCCCGAGGACAGCTGGCGGTTTTCCGGCTCGGAAAATTCTTTACCTCTTCGTCTCATGGTTTGCAAGGATCTCTCTGGTAAACACTGGAACTTCTTCTCCACTAACTCCTTGTCGCCATGTCCGAAACTGTTGACCTTGAGGATAACATCTTCCTTTGGGGCCATTTAAAAAACAAGGTGTTGATTCTCAATTCTAAACGCGCATAAATACAGGTTGAGTACCATTTCAGAAGTTCCACTGTTGAAGAAAGACGAAATACAGTCGAGCGCATAAAGCTTATGTGGGACAGCAATGGCGGAAAGGTAAAGCAGTTTGAGTGGAAAGGGCGCGCATCAAGGAATCAGAGAATCTGAAGTGTAGAAAGACGGGTGATTTTGTAGCGATTTTGTAGGAAATGGCGGCAAAACTATCATTTTTCCTTTTTTTGCTTTCCTCGTTTCACTTTCACGAAGGCCTTTTATGGCCCAACAGAAAACTTTTGAAAGCCCGTCGCCGATTGCTCCAACAAATGCGAGAATTACACTGTTATGGCGTGTAAATACAATATATATATATATTTTTTTTTAACTATGTTTGGAAAGTTTAAAAAAGTTCGCAACCATTTACTTCTGCATGCGCTTTGATAACATAATAGTTTATGAAAAATCAATGCATTAACTTACCATCCGCACTATTTTATTTCTTGTTTTTACAAAATTTATCATTTTTCCAAGAATTGGACTCCATAAATCATTTTTATTTGTTTATTATTCTCTTAAAAAAATATTTATTCTAAAATTTCATTTTCCAATATAATTTTTAAATAAAAATTTTAATATTATATCCTAATTTATAATAATTAAAAAATAATTTATAACCTACTCTTTCCTTTTAATTATAAAAATGATAAAAATATCTTTATTTATAATCTCGATTCTTATTCCATTTATTTAATGATAAAAATGTTTTCTTATCCCTCCGTAATTCCCTCCGCTCGTAAATTAAATATCTTTATTTACAAATTACATAATTTCACAACAGCTCACCAACCATTATTTTACATTGGTTTAAAACAGTTATTTATTTAATTACGGTCATTTTCTACCTCTATTTTAAAATTTCAAGATTTAAACTATAAATTAAATCCAAAATTTGAGCATCCTTTAATTTAAAAAATACAAAACCACTGAAAACAATTTAAGTAAGTTACAGATTTTACTATGATGTTTAATACCCTTTTAGTCCAAACAAAAATAAAAATAACAATAAATGAAGAGGAGGAGAGAAGGTTATCCCATGCCACGTCATAGGGTGGAATCCAAATGAGCCAATCAGAATCACCCATTGCATTATCCGGCGTTTGATGTTAGAGGCCACTCATAGCTCATCCACTCACTCCCACTCTCAAAGCCACACAAATCCATCCCTTTCCCCTTCCTTATAAACCACTTCCCCTCTCTTCTCCTCCTTGATCATTACCAAAATTTCCAAATCCTACTCTATATCCATGGCCACCGTCACCTCCGCCACCGTTGCCATCCCCTCCTTCACCGGCCTCAAGACCTCCGCCACCGCTTCCAAATCCACCGCCGCCGTCCGCGTCTCCTCCCCCTCGGTCCCCAAGCTGACCGTCAGGGCCTCTCTGAAGGACCTTGGTGTGGCCGTGGCCGCCACCGCCGCCAGTGCCCTGCTGGCCTCAAACGCCTTGGCCATTGAGGTCTTGCTAGGCGGCGACGACGGATCTCTAGCCTTCATTCCGAACGATTTCTCGGTGGCGGCCGGTGAGAAAATCGTGTTCAAGAACAACGCGGGTTTCCCACACAACGTGGTGTTCGACGAGGACGAAATCCCAAGCGGAGTGGACGCCGGCAAGATCTCGATGAACGAGGAAGATCTTCTTAACGCCCCCGGCGAGGTCTACGAAGTCAATCTCACCGAGAAAGGAAGCTACTCCTTCTACTGTTCGCCCCATCAAGGAGCTGGAATGGTCGGCAAAGTCACCGTTAACTGATCATTCATTTTTCTCTGTATTCTTCTTTTTTCCATAAAAAAAATATGTTATTTTAAGTTCAATGTCTTTTCTTCTTTTTTTTTTCTTTCCGTTCTACCCAGAGACTTGCACGCCGCAGAGCTTTAAGATTCTTGGTATATCAGAATCATAAACCACCGTTAATGTAATCTAATGAATCTCTTACTCTCTTCTCTTCTCTGCTGGCCGTGGGCTTGCTTTCCGGCCCATTTCGGATTTACGGCCCACTTGAATATAATCATTTTTTTTTTATTTTTCTTAAGTAAATATTTGAATTATATAAAAAGGTCAAATGCGAAATTAATTTGTTTGAATCAATGTTGGGCCAAGTTTATGTGTTGATGCCGGGGGAAAATATTGGTTGAAGCCCAAGCCCAGGCCCAGGCCCAAGCCCAATAATAGATACTCTTAAAAGGTAATAATAATAATAAATAACCTACGGCTTATTAATTATAGCTCATATCTTGTAATCCATTTATTAATAAATGGTTAACCATTATAATGAAAGCAGTGGTTTAATAAACATTAAAATAGAAAAAGGAAGCTTTATGAAAGAAGATTCCACGTGATTGCCAAGCAATCAAAACCCGGCAGTCATCCACGTCAGCACTACTATTTTCAATGAAAGCTAAAAGGCTTCGTTTTTATCGACAATAAAATTACAATTACCAATTTTGTAATGGCTTCTAATTACCCAACCCACCCATCCAACAAAGCTCGTGATCTGTCAGTCATCGCACATGTATTTTTTTACGTTTTTAAATTCGAACAATGTTATTTATACTTTTTTACACAACGGAAATAACGTGTAAACACGTTCGGCTTTATTATTATTTTTTAGAATATCGATTTAATTCTCAATCTTTTTGAGTTACATTTTATTTTTATTTTAATATCTCCCGTTTTAAATCTGAGAGATGGTTAAGCCAAACAACAAAAATCTGATTTTTACTTCAAATTCGATCGGTATTAATTTAACTCAATTAATTAAAATTTAAGTCAAATACTAAACAACTGTAAAAATATCTTTTGAAATATAAATATTAATATCAAACTTTTTTTTTTTTTTTTTTTTTTTTTT